GAGACAGGGAAATGAAGGTACAGAGAAGCAGGGTGACTTGTCTACTGGTCAGTGGCAGAGGTGGGAACAGAATCCAAATCTCCTGACTCCCACACTGCTTCCCCCACTTTTGCATTTTCTGCGTGTGGGCAATTTAGCAAGGTAGGTCAGGACCTCCCATTGGAACCCATCTGAGTTTCCAGTGGGAGGAGAGTTAAACTGATGTTTCTGAAATCCTCACCGACAGCTTTGAATAAGTGTCCATGGATGGAGGAAATACAAATTCCCTTGACAGAGACAGAGAACCCCTTTGCTGGTTATTTTCCTATTTCGGTCAACAGAAGAATGGATGGTCCTGCCTCTGCTCACTACAGAGATTTGGGCAGCTCTTATTTTGAACCAAATGTGCTCCATTTCTCCTTAGTTCCCTTGAGGATGGCTTTGACTGTCCTCAGCAGAAGCTGACGTCTATTTTATCAAACGTGTAGCAACTTTTCCTTCTTAATATAGCCAAAACAGTCTGGCCTAATAAAAAGGAAATGAAATTTCACTGAATGGGCTGTTTTTAGAGATTCCAGCGTGCTTTGATCATGCACTATGTGAAGTTTGTTGAAAGGCTGCCAACCTCAACAGAGGAGCTGGTCATGAAACACCTGCTCTCACTAATCTGGTATATATGTTCTGAATCCCCTTCTATCTTGCTATGAAGTGATATATCCTTTGGAAAAGCCCATGTGAATTTGAAAGAAGACAAGACACTCTCTATATGGCTTTGGGACCAATGTATACTGTTGCTTTTATTTCAGTAATGTCTACCATGCCCCACCCAAGCCGGATTGAGCTAGGGGCTGACAAAAACACATCGTCATAGATGGCCAGTGCCTTGGAAGAGTTTACAATCTAGAGAGATGAAGCAAGTAAACGGCAGGAGAAAAAAGAGGGATTACATGTGTTACAGGGATCGCTGGTAAAAGAAACCAATGTTCCTATTCTGCAAATAGCCAAAAGCTTAATTTTTACTTTACCAAGGTTGCTCAAAAGAGGCAAGTTCAGCCTGTGCCTTAAATGTTTGCAAAATCAGTCCCTTTTTGTGACCTCCCAGAGGCACACACGAAGGTGGTAGCAGAACCAAGGGTGGAATCAGTAGCATCCAACCCAGTGTCTTTTGGTAGCTTTTAGATAAGTCTCATGATGACTTCCAGGTAGCTGGTGTGAATGCAAGCCAGCCACACAGGGCCAGAAGAACTCCTGTCCCATTTTCCAGCCATCTATACCACACACTCTCCTCATGGACAGAATGCTCTATAATTGCTTTCATTCCTCATGTTAGGCAAACCTCAGACAAGCCCTAGTATTTGACGACCCATCCTTTCTATGCTACAGGTTAAAAACAGCAGCAGGACTGCTCACTCTTGCTCTAGTCATGCTGATACTTTACATTTATCTGAAGTCTGATCAGACCTCAGATGTCAATTTTAACAGCTCCACAGCAAGAAGCGGCAGAGATTAAGTGAGCAGGGCCTCACAGTAGCTACATCTCAGCACTTTCTTCCCACAGAGGATGAGTAACTTTATTATCATACCCAACAGCCATGACCCAAGGTCATTAATATCTCCCAACCCTTTCATTTCACCCTGGCATTAAGCGAGTGCCTCTTTGCTCTTCTGACTAGAGCACTGTACAATGAAAACGAATAGACTGACACCTCGAACCGATTCTTTTAGGGATGATCTGTATACATACACTGCAGTAATTATACTGGTTAGAATTCACACCTTGTCAGCCAAATCTCCTTGTGGACATTCCAATTTTGGAAAGAAGAGAGCCATAACTTTCTTTTGCTTGAATCAGCAATGGGGTGCCTGTATTCTGAAATAAACCTCTTGTGCATATACCCTTTTGATGCAAGGTTGTGCCTAGGACTAATTCAGGCAACTAAATGAAGTAACAGAAAATAATAGAAGTGAGAGTAAAAAGGTTGTGCAAGGATGGTCAGTGCAAGTTATAATGGGCTTAATATTTCATGGGACAGCAAAGGAAGGAAAATAATAAGGTATGTTCTGGAATGTCTTCTCTTTCCACAGTCATATCAGATGCTTGGTAGATTAGAAACCAGACTAGAGTGATGGGAAAACCCTACAAACCTTTCTGTTTTCCTGACATTCACCACTGTGCTTCCAGTCCTGAAGTTAGTTCCCTGCAGGTGGATTCTTTCCTTGTACAGAACAATTTTAGGATCAAGACTACAATGGGTCAAGATACTTTTTCCCCAGAAGAATTTTTCTACTGGAAAAGACCATCTATATTTCATAGATTTCATAGACATTAGGGCTGGAAGGGACCTCGGAAGATCACTGAGTCCAGCCCCCTGCCCCAGGGGCAGGAAGTCAGCTGGGGTCATAGGATCCCAGCAAGATAAACATCCAAATTTCTCTTGAAGGCGTTCAAAGTAGGTGCTTGAACCACTTCCAATGGCAGGCTATTCCAGACCTTGGGGGCTTGGACAGTAAAGAAGTTCTTCCTTACGTCCAGCCTGAAATGGTTTTGGAGGAGTTTATGACCGTTTGACCTTGTCATCCCTTGTCATTCCCTTGGGGAACAAACATACCCCCAGATCCTGGTGAGCACCCCTTATAAACTTATAGGCAGCCATCAGATCACCCCTGAGCCTGCACTTTTCCAGGCTGAAGAGTCCCATAGCTCTCAGCCTCATATCATAAGGCCTGTTTTCCTGACCTCTGATCATGCGCATGGCTCTTCTCTGGACTCTCTCAAGCTTCTCCACAACATTTTTGAATTGTGGAGCCCAAAACTGGACGCAGTACTCCAGCTGCGGCCTCACCAAGGCCGAGTACATCGGGAGAATGACATCCTGGAATTTGCTTGAGAAGCATGCAAATTGAAACAGAAAGAAAATATTCAACAGGAAAGTGGTTTCAATTTTGTTCTTGTTCTTGTTTTGATAATGTCAAAATGCTTCAATAATGCAGCAGGGTTGTAGGTTGTAGCTGTGCTGGTCTAAGGACATAGGCAGACAAGGTTCCTTGGGTGAACCTGAAAGCTTGCTTAATAACTATTCTCCAACTATTTGGGTTGGTCTAATAAAAGATATCAGATTCACCCAAGGAACCTTGTCTGTCATTAATGCAGAACACTTATAAAACATAAAATATTTTTCTTTGATTTTACCTTTTCAATGAACTTTGTTAAACTCTCAGGTCATATAGTAATATAACACTTCTGTGTATCTTATAATTAGTATTACATTCATATACCATAGATTCATAGATGTTAGGGGCTGGAAGGGACCTCACGAGATCATCGGGTCCAGCCCCCTTGCACTTGAGCATGAATAATATCTTATAATGATTCAACAGAACTCAAAGGAAACAGTTCCACATTATCCAAACAAAAATATCTGAGGTTTCCAATTCCCTCCCTCCCACAAATTCCCATACTGAAAGTATTTCAAAATTTCAACTTTTTGTCTCTATTTGGAAATTCCAAATGTTAGGGGCTGGCTTTCTGCAGAATGCTGTGCATACTTGTGGGTGCTATAAAATGGTATGTCTAGCTATGCATGATGCAGAACAATGTCAGCAATTTAACTCCTAGTGTGAATGGTATAACCAGAGAATTTCCAATGCATATTATTATTTGCAGCATAAAATTATTAGGAGTAATTTAATTTAAAAACAAACTGGAGAAAATGTGCTTTGTTGTTTCTTTCCAGCACTCTTACAGCTAATAATGTACAAGGACCTAAGAAAGTGCTTATTAAATGTAGTTTGTAGTTTCACAAAGCTTCTATTGATACAATAGTGCAGGCACTTTAATTGCCTGCAGACTTAGGAACAGTGATAACTAGGCAGAGACTTCATTGGGCAACACAGAGCAGAGCCAGAATTGAAAAACTCAGTTTACAGGTAAATCATATTGCTTCTAAACAGAAAACAGAAAATAGCCCTGGACTGGAGAGGCTATTGTTTTTAGTATAGTCTGCAACACCTTTCTGATTTACTAACCTTTTTTTGCTTTCTTTTTCCTGTTTAAAGATCAAATTCTCCCACTATTGCTTAATACTTGTGAATGGTCCAAGTTTCTTCCATCTTCCAAATGACTGTAGAAACCATTTATATGAATGATAGCATCAGACAGGTGTGCCAGCAGTTACAAATCTTCTTTTTAAGACATCAAATATTGGGTGGACACTCTCCTTTCCCCCTGACTTCACTGGGTGCTGAACTCAGTGTGTGCAAAAGAAGAATCAGTTCCTAAGTCTGGCTCTTGTATTTTCTGAAGAAGTTGGCCCATTTCTCAACTTATATTTCACCAAATATTCCACACAATCTGTCACTGTTCATCACCATCACCTCCTGTTCAACTTGGTGGCATTACCTGCTTCATTAGTCCATAAGTCCACAAGTTTTCCCCCTCTTCTCCAAGACGGTGTTAGTTGCAACATACCTATCTACTTCAATCATACTGTTCCAAGAAGTCCTGAAGCACATAGCTAGGCTTAACCTGAATCAATTGTTGGCTAAGATTTATTCTACTGCTTACTTTCCAGAATCTGAAATTTGCCCTAATTCTCCAGTTTAATTTAATCCATGGTGAGACTATGTAGAGAGGTAGCTACTGTGACATAGGCAGATGCCCACAATGAACCAGGCTGGTCTCATAGGCCATGAGACAATCACCACTCTCAGTAGTTACCAACCTAAGACAGTTTGAACCATCAATCTGCAAATGAAAGGGTTTCCTGCCCCACTACTGGCCCTCTGAGCCATCCCATACTTTATACTGTCTGTTAGTTGAGGCCTGTGCCTGGGGTGCAAATGGCTGGAGAAAGTCACTTTCAGATCTGCAAGGAATCATTTGTTCTTTTATCTTTGTGCTTAGAAAGGCAGGGACTCTGCAGCAATGTAACATAAGGATCCAAGCTGCCAACCAAGTTTTACCGCGCTGTTGGAATCCCACGATTTTCAGCTTCTGCTCAGTTCCGACTCTGAGAGCTGCTGGCACAACAGGTCACTAGTGGCTTCTTCTGTCTTGGATGCACTATGCAAAACGAACAAAGCCTTGCTTTAATTCCTGCCCTGGCTTCTTTCTGAGACACTGTCTTTCTGTGTCGGGGAACTTGGCAGCAGTTGGGGAACCCATTAGCTGAGTGGGATTCTTTCTTCCTGCATTACACATTCTCTCTCTTGAAAGACCCTCTTTGTGAGCAGTCTGTTTGGTGTGCATGCTTGTGCATGCGCACGCACACATGCGCACACACACACACACACACACACACACACACACACACTTGTGCATGCATGTATACAAAAACATTAAAAAATGTTCTTGCTCTTTCAGCCACTTTTTCTAAGTCTTGATCAGGGACCATGATCAATTCTTCTTTGGAGTGTTTCTGACTCTGCCAGCCACCCTCTGAAGTGCCTTTGCCAGGAAGAATCTGGACCAGAAGCAACCTTTCCCTCTGTGAAAGAGATATCGCAGTCCTATGGCATGAGCATAAGAAGCAGAGCTTCTTGTTATCATTTGCTGCTGGCTTCCTTCTCAGCTTGTGGCGCACCATGCAACTTCTTTGCCCAACTGAGGAACAAAAGGGGATGATACTTGCCATGGTGAGGTGTAGGGATTAGCTAGTTTCAAAGGTGGATCTGATCTGAAAAGAGGCCGTGTAAACTTGGCTCCACGGGGTTCCATATCATTGCATTTCAGTTCTAGTCATTCAAAATCCAGGATGGGATACAGGTGCTTTTTTATCCTTTGCACTTGATAAGTTATGCAACATTGAAAACTGTCATTCTATATACTGCATCATACAGCATTCCTGATCACCTGCCCTGCAGCCTCTCTGTTGGTCAGAGTCATTCCCCTGGAGAGGCTGCACAGGGTCTGGGGCTGACACCTCTCTCATATGGCATAACCAGCTGCCTGACCAAACGCCACCTGCAGAAGTCGAACTTATAGAACCCACTCCATCAGGTATCAGCATTCAATCAATATGAGCGTGCGGCTACAAAACACCTTAGTACAAACAGCTACAGTACATGCAGCTCAGAGTGCTGGAAATTTTAAAAAAACAACCCAAAACACAGCCAACAAACCCATCTCCCTTATTCATGTCAACAATATTATGCTGTTACATGGGGTGTCATAGTTACTAGTTTCATAGTTACTAGGGTCAGAAGGGACCTGAGTAGATCATCAAATCCAACCCCCTGCCCTGGGCAGGAACAAGTGCTGGGATCATAATACTCCAGTCAGATGTTTATCCATCCTCCTTTTGAAGACCCCCAAGGTAGGGGAGAGCACCACCTCCCTTGGGAGCCCCTTCCAGAACCTGGCAGCCCTAACCATAAAGTAATGCCTCCTGATATCTAGCCTGAACCTGCTCTCAACAATTTGTGGCTGTTATTCCTTGTTATCCCAGGTGGTGCCTAGGAGAATAGAGCCTCGCCTATTTTCCGCTGGCCCCCCACCCCGTGAGTTTATAGATGGCCACCAGATCCCCTCTCAGTCTTCTCTTGTGGAGGCTGAATAGATTCAGGCCCTTTAGTCTCTCCTCGTAGGGCCTGGTCTGCTGCCCCCTAACCATATGAGTGGCCCTCCTCTGGACCCTCTCAAGGTTAGCCACATCCCTCTTGAAGTGTGGTGCCCAGAACTGGATGCAGCACTCCAACCAGCGCTGCATAAGCAGAAGGATAAGGGGAAGGATCAGGTCCCTGGACCTGCTTGTGATGCATCTGAGTCATTGGATACTGGGAAATCCCAGTATCTAGATCTAGTTGGATTCTGTCCCTCCTCTCCAGTGTGCCCACTTCTCTCCACATCTTTGTGTCATCAGCCAATTTGGACAGCGTGGTTTCCATGCCCACCTCCAAGTTGCTGATAAAGATGTTGAATAGCACAGGCCCGAGGACTGAGCCCTGGGGAACTCCACTGCCCACATCCCTCCCGGTCAAAAATGACCTGTCCACCACCACTCTCTGGGTGCGACCATCCAGCCAATTTGTCACCCATCTGACGGTGTAGGCATCAATGTCACAATCGCCTAGTTTATTTATGACAGGCTTGTCCAACATGTGGCCCTCCAAGCTGTTTCCTGAGGCGCTGCGATGGGAAACTAAAGTAAACACTGTACTTTCGTTTCGGGTTGGGGGGGGTGGTGATGTGATACCGCTTCCTGTTAGGTCTTTGAATATGGCTCGCCAGCCCACTGGATGATAAAAAGTTCATGATCCAGCCCCACATTCATAAAGGTTGGACACCCCTGATTTATGAGAATGGGGTGAGAAACAGTGTCAAAGGCCTTCTTGAAGTCCAGGTAGACGACATCTACCTCAATGCTCACATCCAAGGACTTTGTGGCTTGGGTGTAAAAGGAAACAAGGTTAGTCAGGCAGGATCTGCCTGCAATGAACCCATGTTGGTTGCCCCTGAGCATTACTTCCCATGCTGGGCCCCCACAGGTGCACTCCTTGATAATTTTCTCAAAGGTCTTCCCAAGAACCGAGGTGAGACTAACTGGCCTATAGTTACCTAGGTCCTCCTTTCTCCCCTTGTTGTAAATGGGGACCACATTGGACCTTATCCAGTCCTCTGGGACCTGACCAGAGCACCACGAGTGCTTGTACTGCCATGCCAGGGGCCCTCCTATGACCTCTACCAATTCCCTCAGTGCCCTTGGATGAAGAGCAACCGGACCTGCTGATTTAAACACATCCAGCCCCTCCAAAAGTTCCCTGACTAGATTGTCCCTGACCCTAGGCATGGTACCATGTCCCCTGAGCCTGTCTGTAATCCTAGGGGGGGGAATTGTCTCCAGTCCCGGCTCAGAAATATGGAGGCAAAGAAATTGTTGAAGAGATTGGCTTTTTCTTTTGCTGCCAACACCAGATTACCAAGCCTGTCCTGTAGAGGCCCCATGTTACCTGGTGCCTTTTTCTTACTCCCTATGTATTTGAAAAAGGACTTTTTGTTATCCTTAATTCTGGCTGCCCGCCCCAGTTCCATCTCTGCCTTGGCCTTCCTAACTGCCTCCCTGCAATCACAAGCAATGGAGGTGTCATCCTCCTTGGTGATTGCCCGTTGCTTCCACTTTTTTGCCCGCAGGCCCTCCTGGATGCCTTTACTGAGCCAAGGAGGCTTTTTAGCACTCTTGCCCCCTTTGGTTCATGTTGGGACTGAGTCCCTCTGAGCCCAGAAGATCATCTCCTTAAGGAACAACCACCTGTCCTGGACTCCCATCTCACTGAGGCTCTGAGTCCCCAATGTCTCTCTTACTAATCTCCTTAGCTCATTGAAGTCAGCCCTCCTGAAGTCAAGGACTTTTGCTTTACTGCTTGCTTTTACCACTCTGTGCCAGATAGCAAATTCCAGCAGACGATGGTCACTAATGCCTAGGTAGTCGAGCACCCACAGATCCCTCACCAGGTCATCGCCTGTGGCAAGGACCGTGTCCAGCAAGGCATTTACTTTGGTGGGATTAGGTACCTCTTGAGTTAGGTGGGGTGGTACAATGCAACTTGGAATGTGAGACTGGCACCATGCCGAGGTCAACTGCAAAGGAGGTTGCTATGATCCATTAAGGACTTAGACCTGAAAGGTGCTGACAAAGCTCAGCTCACAGAATTTGGGGCACTTGCTTCTTTCACTACTAGGGTTGCAGGTTCAGCTTAATAAAAGCCTAACTGTGCTGCCACTCAATTTAACAATCCCAGTGGCTGCAGTGGGAACAGAATAAAGCCACTTTTGAACATCCCACTTTGAATGATCAGCTGTTACTCGATAAATACAACCCACCCTGTCAGATAAAGTTGGAAAATGGGGAACAGTTTGGTAATATCATTAACATAAATATTAGATGTGAAGTTCCAGACTACTAGGACTCAAAGCTACAGGAAGCCTCGTTTCCATTTTAAAGAACAGAGTGTATTCTTTATTGCAGTCATGTTAAAAAGGTCCCACGTCAACCAAATGTTAAATGCAGGAGTGAGGAAGCTGGTCATGGCAACAAGAATGGGAAATCACAGCCTTTCATGGCCTATGAAAATATATAAAGCCATGGTGGGCTTGCAAGTGTGTTCTCTTGTTTTCTCAATCTGGACTGTAGACACTTGGGGCTCCACACAGCCATCAGATACTTTTGCTTCTGTTAGCACGTGGCGCAAAGGCCTCAGGAGCAGAGAACAAAGGCATCTTTGCCTGTAAAGCCAACACCAACCCCCAGCCTGTAAAGATGTGCACCCTTTTAGGACACTGGAAAAAGATCAGGCAGCTGGGAGCAAGGACATTCCAGCAGGCGAGAAGAAGGGTCTCTGCCCTACATACCTAAATTACAAGCTCCCTGGAACAAGGACTCTGTTTTGTTGTTTGAGTGTGTAGCACAATGTGGCTCTGATCCTAGAGCTGGGCTCCCAGATACTACTGCAACAGAAATATGTAACAATAAAGTACTAATGCAGAAAAGGGCTAGGGGTTCCATCTCACCATCTCTGGTTGGAGAGCCAGTGGGCTAGTGGGCAGTGCAGAGGGCACTATTGGCTTATTTGTTTTGCAAGAGCATTTTAAGACCCCAGCAAAGGAAGGCCCTGTCGCATGAATCATTGTGTAGACATAGGAGGAGACAGGCCTTGCCCCAAAAACTTACAACCAAAATGGACAAGACAGGATTGGAGAAAGAGTGGAGTCTTTTGCTTATTTTGCAAGGGCAACTGAGAAACAAAGATGAAGTGACTGGTTCAAAACCACACATGGAAGCTGTGGCAGAGCCAAGAAATGACCCCACTCTCCTTAGTACCCATGCAGTGCCATAAGGACAGGGCCACCCTTCCTTACCATCCCTGAACTAGCTCTTTGTCAATGCAGGGGATTAATGCCTCCAGTGCTATACTTTCTTGGCTCCTTTCACCAGCTCTGAATTTACCCAAGCAAAGAATCACATTGGCCCTCTCTGTCCCCATGCTGTTTTGTTCCCTCTGGCTTAAGTCATATTATCACAATACATCCTTCAGCATTGTCCATATTGATGGAAAGGATTCATTTCC